GAGGGATCAAGTGGGATAAGCCTGGCGCAGTCATCAAACTTTACTTGTTGGAGTGGAGCAGTTACCCTAAGTACCTCAGGTTGTTTGCCTTTGCCCCAGGTGCAGATTTCCATGGACTCAGTTCTGGATCCTGGGACAAAGAGGGGATGGTACATAAAAATCAGAAGACACATCTTCACCCAAGCCTCTGAGGCTTTGGTGAGGCAGGCAATATTACTTTGGAAATAACTCGATGGAGAGAATAAATAGAAAGAGGCATTCTTCTCCACTGCACCATAAATCGCTGAGCAGCATTGGCCCATCTGTGCTCTGGGGTATTGGTGGCAGCGCCAGTAGAACATGCAGTGGTGGTGGCCAGCAGAGGGGCAAGTGGCCTGTTGCTATACAGGAGGCAGTGGTTTCCAGAGAGGCACAGACATGGTAGAGCCCTGAAGTGCAGTGGGATCTAGAAGTATTCCAGTTTACAGTAGATGTGGTTGTACCTGTAGGACACAGTGGTAATCAACAGAGCAAAACAAAATCATAAGAGTGGCATCTTTCCCAAGAATTATAACCAAGTACTTGCAAGATACAACCCAAGACATGTGTGTTGCATGTGTGTGTCTGTGTGTGTGCGAAGAAGGGCAAAAACTCTAGAGAGGGCTCCATTGCAGACATCTGACCTGACTTCCTCTTTCCTAAAACCAGTCCTAAAAGGTGTTACTAAAGTAACAAAATGATTGTCCTTTCCAGTCATTTGACTAAACTATTTTTGAACTCACAGCCTTCCTCTGGTGTCCTATAATACTTGAATTGGATTAAGGAATCTCTGACTCTCTCCCTAGAATTTCTGGGTTAATAATAATATTGACCTTGTAGGGTTGTTAAGAGGATTAAACAGTGTAATACTTGTTGAGAGCTCAGCACAGTGCTAGGCACATAGTAAGCACTTTTCAGTATTAACTCTAATATGACTGCTGCCTCAGTTCACCTCCCAGACAGGTCTCATTTTCTGCTTAGTGTGCTCACTAAGCTTAAATTGTGACTCATCATTAATGTCCTTGGACATATTACTTAATTTCTGGGTAATCTGAATTAACCCTACAAATATGGAGCCCACTGTGTGCCAAGCATTGTGCCAAGTACTGCAGACCCATGTATAAACAGCTCGAACATGCCCCTGCCTACAAAGCGTGCAATGTCTAGGAGGCAGGGGAGGCAGCGAAATGAGCAATTTTAATACAGAGCTGCAAGGAAATCAGATGTGCATATGCCCACTCATCCAACTTGTGTTGGACCAATAGTTAATAGACTCATCCAAAAAGTCAGTAAAGTGGAGAGTCATTAAAAATGTTACCTACATGCCTTAAATGTTCTATTTCAATTTAAAGAGAGTAGAGGTTGTTAGGAGATGGGAGCAGGGGAATGTGGAGTGGTTACTCAAGAGTACAGGGCGTTTTTCTGGGGAGATGAACAAGTTTTGAAACTAGACAGAGTTGGTAGTGACACAGCATCATGACTGCACTAAATGCCATTGACTTGTATATTTTCAAATGGTTAATTGTACGTTATATAAATTTCACTTCAATAAAATATAAACGTATATTATTTTGCCAAATTTTTGATGCAAGGCTAAGGACTTTTCCTTAAATATATGTCCAGTAATTGAAGTCCCGGTCATCTTTCTGATATAAACCACATCCATAATATATACATGTTTTATTTCTATTTTAATTTCTTTAAATTGGAGCAAGAACTTAGATACTGACAAATCTATGTCAGAGTAGAATCTGTTTAGATGTTTAATGATTTCTTTCCATTTCCAATTTTATATCCATGAGAGTAACTTTTAGAAGCTTACATTTATGTCTTTGTACATTATAGAAACAACTTTCTGTACTTATATTTTATCAATTTACATAAGATTTCCTCAAATAACATAGCTATAACCATAGTAAAACTATTATAAAATAATTTAGACCAAACACATCTGACTCTTGGTAGGCATACAATGCAATTCAACTGGTGAGAGCAGTAGTAAGATGAGTGTATAGACAGCAGCTTATCAGCTTTGAGCGTTGGGGAGGGCAGGGCTGTAGTCAGTGTGCTTTACAAATGAAATTACATGTATCAAGTAAGCTGGTTAAATAGAGGCCACTTTAAGAGCATTTGTAATACAGTGGATGTCCAGAAGAAGGATGCTTAACCTGGACTGGGGGTTGAGAAACGTCTTTCCAAGGGAAGTGACATAAGTTGAGATCTAAAGGCGTGGAAGGACTTACCCAGAAGAAAAGTCAGAAGAACTGTTTCAAGCACTGGAAACAACCAGAGAGAGAAGAGAGGAGCATTGGAGGAACAGCAAGAAGTATTGCTGGAGTGTGGCGTGCAGAAGGGGATGTGTTGAAGATGAAACTTGGAGAGGATCATGTTAACCATGTTAAGAAGTTTAGACTTCATTTTAGGGACAGTGGAAAGCCATGAAAAATTTTTAAGTAGAGGACTGACAAAATCAGACTTGTGTTTTAGAAAGATCCCCTGGACTGCATTCCAGGGACCAGAATAGAGATGGTGGTAGGGCAGTGGAGGGGTGAAGGGTAGGGAAGTCCAGTGATGGGGCTACCAAGGGAGTGGTGAAATGAGCCTAGTACTATAGGGATAGAGAAGAGTACACATCAGCTCTGAGAGGCAGGTAGGGGGTAGACTGTACGGGGGTTTAGTGACCAAGTGTATTTGGGGGTGAAGGAAAGAAGGAAGACCAGCTTTGGTGATGGTGTCATTTGCTGAAATAGAGAACATGGAACAAGAGTAGCTTTGGAAAGAAGATGAGGTAAACTTAGAATATATTGAATTTGAGGTCTAATGAAGCTGTGGGATGTCCATTAAGTAGCTAGACATGTAACTCTAAAACTGGATCTCAGCGGTTAAAGGGGCCAAAAAGTCATATAAGGTAAGGAATGGAAAGGATGCAATAAGTTTTATCAATGACGAGGTCCCTGGTAACATTGGTGAAAGCAGCTTTAGAAAGCAGGTAGGCACATTAGCCCAATGGTAATGGGTTGGGGAGCATGTGGGCATGAGGAAATGACCATGGGTACTTAATCATTTAGAGAATTTGGGATTTGAAGGGGAGGACGGAGTAGGGAAATTTCCAGAATAGCTGAAACAAGAGTAGGGGATGAAGAACATATTTAAGCATTAGTAAGATGAGTCAGTAGAAAGGTAAAGGCTGCAAACGTAAGGGAGGAAATAATGAGGGGGTTAAACACAGAAACCGACACTTAGTATGGAACGCTGTTGTGAGGGGATAAGTGAGTAAGCCCATGTAAAGCATTATGCTCTGCCGGGCACAGTGGCCCATGTCTGTAATCCCAACACTTTGGGAGGCTGAGACAGGCAGATAGCTTGCGCTCAGGAGTTCAAGACCAGCCTGGGCAACATGACAAAACCCTGTCTCTGCAAAAAACACTAAAATTAGCTGGGCATGGTGGTTCACGCCTGTAGTCACAGCTGCTTGGGAGGCTGAGGCATGGGAATCCCTTGAGCCCAGGAGGTTGAGGCTGCAGTGAGTGCTGACTGTGCCATTGTTCGTTCCTTTCATTCTCTATGCACTGCCCATCCCCCATTTTGTTTCATCTGTGCCCTGATATAGTTACTTTGGCCTGTGCCTTTTTGGCTGCATACCTGTGGTTTTGGATAGTTACCCATGCAATTCTGGATGGACATCTAGGTTTAGAAACTAGTAGAGACTGGTCTAATGACTTGCCTGTCCCCTCTTCCCATATATGGCCTCAGCAAATCCCATTTCTCAAATGTGTACTCTCATTTTCACTGTCATGTTTAGCTGCTCAGCAGAGGTGATGGGCTACTTACCACACCTGAGTCATCTCATGTACTCTTTCAGACTTCAAAGTATCTTAGCTTTCCATTTTTTCAACTAAGCTAGATGGGAGGTTTCTCTTCATTGTGGAAAGAGGCTCTTTTCTCCTCATAGATGTATTCCAATGTTTATCTTTAATTATTAACAAGAATTATTAAATGCTTAGTTCATTGCTTGCACACGGTATTCAAAAAACTGAATTTTCCTTTCCTTAGTTCTGTTTGACACATTTCATTTCCTCATTGCTCACCTCTTAGCCATTTTTCTGCCATACAGGCCCTCCTCCTCATGCCCTCTTTTTTTTTTTTTTTTTTTTTTTAGCATTTCGATATGTTTCTTTCCAATTATTTCTATGCTTTGGAAAATATAATTGAAAAATTACTGAATGTTCTTTTTTCACTTGCTATTTTAACATAACTATTTTCCTGTTAAAATTATTAACTATAATTTTGATAACTGCTAGATATACCAGCTATACCAAGCTTCATCTGGCCATTTTCCTATAATCAAACATTTAGGTGCTCATTTGTTTACACATATATTTTTGTTCACATTGTTTATTATTTCCCTACCTGAGGCTTCTAGAAGTGGGATTACAATGGTAAGCATTTTAAGAGAAATACAAAAGCTAGTTTCATATTAAGAACTGATATCACATTAAGAAGTGATACTGCTGTTTTCTCACCAGCAGACTACTAACTTTTCAAGTCCCATTGATATTACAGCAAAAAAGAATGGCTTTACAAATCTCATTCATTTTATAAGTAGCATCATCTTCATTTTAAAAATATAAGTCATCTAATTGTTTACAGTGTTATACACTGTTCAGAGAACTACATAGCTCTGATTCCTTCATTCCAAAAATGTATATTCCAAGGAAGATACACCGATGTGAAGATTCACCAAATGCAGGCAAGAACTATTAAAAGTATCCCATGGATGGACCTCCAAATGAGTTTAGGGTAATTGCACTTAAAATATTAGGACCAAAGTACATTTATTTTATAGATGGAGGAGGGGAGGAGATGAGTGGGGACCAGCTGAGACATCCAGTCTTCACCTGGACATATGGAAAGAACAAATGTGTGATCTGCTCATTCTCTCCGAAGGTCTCTGTTGTTACATATTTCCTCCTCTCTTCCAGAGCATAATAACCAATGACTGCTCTCAGAAAGGTACTGTGACCACCACTTGCTTGGCTCTCCAACCTCCTCCCCCATTTCCCTCTTGATTCCTCTTTGCCATATCACCGTCTGTCCCCTAGCCTTGCCTCAGGTCCCTGAAGAATCCTGCCCTTAATCTGTGGGGGTGGTAGGTGGCACTGGTTTGAAGAGCTTACTGGATCTCCCTCAGTGAGTCAGCCTGGAGTTGTGTTTGAAAACCACAGGCCCTGACTGTGGCTGTCAGACCTCCCAGACACCACCTGCTGCTGCCCGTCATCATCTTCAGGTGCTGGGCTCCCCTGTGGGCCTCCTCCTCCCGCCTCTGCTGCAGCGGTCCCATGGGTGCCCGCCCTCTCTGACACCACACGAGAAGCCATCTAGATTCCAGGAACAAAGCCATCTTTATTTGCCTCCTTCCCACTGAAGGTAAAAGCAACATTAATAACCACAACAAATAGTGAGTGCTTACTATTATTCATTTAATTGTTGGCCCTTCCATCCCTGGCCATGATGAGAGATGTGCCATAACTTACTCCTAAAGAGACCTGAGGACACACGTGCACAAACATATTGGGTATATCATCACTGGCATCAAAACTGATTTTCCCTGTCTACCCAGAACAGGCCCAAGGGAGAGGGAAAAGTGGATACCCACCTGTGTCGCCATTTGTGTGCCAAGTCCAGGAACAGTCCATGCAGCCCTGCGGCATCCCACGACGCTGTCACAAAGAAGTTCACCCGAGGCTGAGGTGTTGTCATCAGAATGTTCGTTAAAGTAGGAACGCTGACCTTGTTCTTGGGCAGATACTCTTCCTGTGGAGTATCCAGCCTGTTTGCCTAGTTTCCTTGTTCTTCCGGGGTCTGATCTCTATCTGTTTTACTGTATTGCAGCTACCAAAGTGGTATAAGTAAAATTGAAAGAATTCTAAACAGCTTTTTCCCCCATGTTAGCTGCCTCACGTTAATGTGGTCTTATGGTCTGCAAATAAGTGTTTTGATGATTTGGCGACTGCAGTTATCCATACTAGCTCTCCTATCACTGACTACTGACAGCTAATTATTATCGAATACCCACCCACCCAGGGTGAGTTATAAGTTATACCAGGTGTTTTGCTTAACAATACTAATGCAATGAACTTTACTGTTTACTCTCTCATCTTAAAGTAATCAGCTGGTAAAATAAGATGGATTGCATAGGTACTTGAATTTTTTTTTGTTTGTGAGGCTTTTCCCCTATTCATATTAAATTTAAACTGTTTTTCAAATTTATTTTGCTATTCATATTTCCTGTGCATGAATCATATAATCATGTCCTTTGCCCATTTATCCATTGGGAATATTATTAGTGTTCACATGTATGTTTGAATAACTTTTCATATACTTGGTGCTGATAATTCTATTTTTCATGTATGTTGATTTTTTTTGGTTTTTGTTGTTAGTTATTTCTATTACTTAGAAGTTAAAAACTTATGTAATTATATTTGACCATTTTATTTCATTTCTAATTTCTCCATTTGCTCCAACTGTAAGAAAATTATCACTTTAAATTGAGACTAAAAGCCCTATATATTCTTTTAGGTCTCTATTTCCCACCATCCCTGATATTTTACTCTGACATTCTCTAGGCCTTACAGCCCAGGCCCCATAATTATTCAACACATTATTTTCACAAAGGTTAGATGCTTGTGTTATGACTTCAACTGAGCAGTCACCTTAGAGTCTACTACCTACCCATTTATCCTGTCTTTACAACTATTTGTCATGTCTTCTGTTGTCCAAGGGGCTTACAACATTCACACCCAACTTCAATCATTCACCTACTCATTTACTTATTCACTCACTCACACTTTCATTTATTCATTCATTTACTGTATTTGGCACACAAACTCTAGGATGACCACCAGGGATCCTTGCTTCCTGGTGTGTTCACTCTTGTGTGCAGGCAGGACCTGGGACTTGCTTCTAACCAACAGAATATGGCAAAAGTGGTGGGATGTTCTTCCTGTGATCATGTTACATAATATAAGATGCTGTCTTGCTAGTAGACTCACTCTAGACGCTCTCCTTTTTGGCTTGATGAAGTAAGCAGTCATGTTAAGGAAGCTCTAATGGTGAGGAACCTTGGGCAAACTCCAGCCAGCAGTCAGAAAGAAGTCTGGATCCTTGGTCTTAGAGCAGCATGGAAATGAATTCTGCCAATAACCTGGGTGAGCTTAAAAAGGGGTTTCTTCCTCAGTCAAGTCTCCAGATGAGAACACTGTCCAGGTGTCACCTTGATTACAGTCTTGTGAGACTCTAAGCAGATGGCCCATCTAAGCCATGCCCTTACCTAGAAACTGTAAGATAATAAGCAGTTGTTGTTTTGAGCCACAAAGTATGCAGTAATTTGTTATGCAGAAATAGAAAACAAATACACAGTGCTGTGCTAATGATCATACGCATGATCTCTTAGTGCTTCAAGTAACAGTCTTAAGCCTGATACTAATATTATCTTCATTTACAGATGGAGAAACTGAGGCCCAGAAATTGATCTCCAGAATGCTTTGCTCTTAGCCACTATACTATTATGGCATATTTTATCTTTATGTATTGCATTATTTCATGGATTCAAGTTTATCAATGTCCTTTGACAAGTTTAAAAATCTGTCTGCTCACATGCACACGTATGTTCATTGCGGCACTATTCACAATAGCAAAGACTTGGAATCAACCCAAATGTCCATCAGTGACAGACTGGATTAAGAAAATGTGGCACATATACACCATGGAATACTATGCAGCCATAAAAAAGGATGAGTTTGTGTCCTTTGTAGACATGGATGCAGCTGGAAACCATCATTCTCAGCAAACTATCACAAGAACAGAAAACCAAACACCGCATGTTCTCACTCATAGGTGGGAATGGAACAATGAGATCACTTGGACTCGGGAAGGGGAACATCACACACTGGGGCCTATTATGGGGAGGGGGGAGGGAGGAGGGATTGCATTGGCAGTTATACCTGATGTAAAGGACAAGTTGATGGGTGCTGACGAGTTGATGGGTGCTGACGAGTTGATGGGTGCAGCACACCAACATGGCACGAGTATACATATGTAACAAACCTGCACGTTATGCACATGTACCCTAGAACTTAAAGTATAATAATAATAAAAAAATAAAAATAAAAATCTGTCTGCTAAAGCCTATCAAATGCATTAAGGAAAAATCCCACTTGGCACATCTCCCAAACAAGGTAGATGTTTTTATAGGTTCAACTCTATAAAGACATTTCATGTAACTGTTTTGTGCTGTACTTATACCATACATCTTGTAGAAATAATATTAGATTCATGAATAGGAAATATTTTTATTAAAAGTGATGGGCTGGCTGGGAGTGGTGGCTCATGCCTGCAATCCCAGCACTATGGGAGGCCGAGGAGGGCGGATCACGAAGTCAGGAGTTCGAGACCAGCCTGACCAACATGGTGAAACCCTGTCTCTACTAAAAATACAAAAGATTAGCTGGATGTGGTGGTGCAGACCTGTAATCCCAGCTACTCAGGAGGCTGAGGCGGGAGAATTGCTCAAACCTGGGAGACAGAGGTTGCAGTGAGCCGAGATGTTGCCACTGCTACACTCCAGCCTGGATGACAGAGACAGGCTCCATTTCAAAAAAAAAAAAAAAAAGCGACGGATTATGAACTATTTAGAAGAAAGAATAATCATGACAGACATGAGTCCTAAATGCTTTGAATTTATCTGGAATTAGAACGTTCAGAAAAACATTAGTTAAAATGTGCTGCCGCTTGGATTCTGTCTTTAACTTTGCTGTAAGACTAAAACATTTAATCTGTGTCTTACTGTTAACATTTCTGATCAGGTATAGGGAAAAACATAATATAGAGAGATTTAGAAACACTTTTTTTTTTTTTAAACTGCTAAAGTCCTATTTGGTTCATTGTTCTGAGGAGTTAAGGTGGAATTGTGATCCCGGTACCATGTCTTCTAATAAAAGACATTTTTGCTCTGCATTTATCAGATGTTAATTATTCATACTGCATGACTGAGGATTTTGGAGGCAGAGAGAGATTCATCTGCAATATTTGGAACACCAGTGGAGGTCTACATCAACACAGAATTTATACAGCAGCTGGTGCTAGTCAGAGCTAATGATAGAATTTCAGTTTAATAAAAAGACCCCCAACTGAGCATACCATCTTGAAAAAAGTATACTTATCAAACAGCTTTCAATCAGTTCAAGAGAGAAACCTTAATTGGGAAGAGGAAGAATTGCAGAGTAGTTTGTAATCATGCCAATTCCAGATCAATAACTGCATGTCTGTTCTTTGGTAGACATAGCTTTTGCTTTATATTAAGTAATCACTTATATATTCTCTCTATTTGGATAAGGAAACCTTTCCTTTATTTGACAATGTATAATGATATACTCTTTTAATTCACCTCTGTGTCTTTGTAATAAACATGTGAAAAATTTAGACATGTGATGGTAAAGGTCAATATAATTATTTGTTTTTAAAATAAATTTTGTATCTAACAGGAAAACGGTGCTTATGAAATTTTTATATTTTCAAAAATTGTTTTGTTGAAATAAAATGTTATGAGTAAAGTTAAATGATGGTGGTTTAACTATAAGAAGAGTATACTGAACACTGATAATCTGATTTGTATGAAATTACTTCGGGGAAGGCTGTGTAATCTAATAAGAAACAAAAAGAAGACAGTTTACTTTTTGCAGGAAGGATTTGGAACACTAAAGAAGAATATGATTCAGTCATTAAGTCTTAGTTTTCTTTTGTTAAAAGGAGATAGTCATTCAAACTGGTGGCTTTCAACCTGTTTATAGGCTACTAGTCTCAGTGGTGCCTTACAGGGCAGTATGGGGCAGGCAGGGCAGGTGCAGAGGGCAGTGAGGGGAGGTATGGCCCAATAGGGAGGTCGAGGCAAAGCCTGCAGGTGAGGGCTCTGCAGTTCCCTTTCTCATGTCAACCAGGGCATATCTTTTCTTTCTGCCTGCCTGCCTTTTTCCCCCTTCCTTCCTTCCCTCCCTCCAAACTGTATCTATTTACATAGACATACATTTTTGAATGGAAATATTGGGCTTCTATATAAAATTTCTTTTTGCAAAATAGGGTTTCCCTGCTAAAATACAGTTTGAAAAATCACTGGACTAGACAATTCTAAGTTTTTTTTCCTTCTATGTTTCAATTACTGTTAGGATTTCAAGATCCAGGAACAACATAGCAAGGGAGATTGAAAATCTTTTAGGACACACAACAAACACCTATCTTGCATAAATGGTAGTTCAGCTAAGAGGCAAAGCTATGGGTGAAATGGCATCTTACAATGCTTTCAGATATACGGGACTGTCTAAGTCCATTTGTGTTGCTTTAAAGGATAACTAAGGCTGGGTAATGTATGAAGAAAAGAGGTTTATTTGATTCATGGTTCTGCAGGCTGTACAAGATGCATGACACCAGCATCTGTATCTGGTGAGCATGGCAGAAGAAGAAAAGGAGCCAGCACATACAGACCACATGTCAAGAGAGAAGAAACAAGAGAGACGGGAAGGTGCCAGGCTCTTTTTAACAACTAGCTCTCAGGGCAACTCCCATGGGATCTAAGAGTGGGAACTCGCTGTTTACTGTGAGGATGGTACCAAGCCATTCATGAGGGATTCAATTCCATGATCCAAACACCTCACACCAGGCCCCACCTCCAACACTGGAAATCAACTTTCAAAATGAGATTTGGTGGGACTAAACAAATCTTAATAGAAACTATGATTAATAGGTTAAGTTTTGTGGGGTTTTTTTTTTTGAGTAATTATGTAGAGCAGGGCCATGTTCACTTAGGCACTTAATCTACTCAGTGATGTTTGGGCAAAGGAAGACTATGACCTAATTTTAAAAATAAAAGCCTTTTGCATTTAGAGAATAATATGCTGTTAGAGCTGGTAGGATATTTGAAATCATTTTTCTCATTTTATGTATTTATTTATTCATTAAATTGATAAATTTTTATTGAGTTTGAATATGTGCCAGCCATCATGTTAGGTGTTAGGGATACAGTATATTGTCCCTATCTGTATAGAGATTACGCTTTAGTGGAGGAGATAGGCAATTAAACAATCATACACACAAGCATATAATTACAAATTTGTATAAGTTCTATTAAACAAAAGAAAAGGGTTCCCTGAGATCCTGTGTTGGAGTATACATGAGAACGCTGGGCTGTAGAGAGCAAAAGTGACTTGCCTCAAGTCACTGAGTGTGTGCTGTAGGGCTGGCACTAGACTTGGTCACATGTTCTCTCTGTCTCATTAGCTTAGCTGTGAAGTTTAGGTCCATAGTAAGGGTTAGATAGAAATCAGAAAGCCATGAACTCCCCTCTGGCTTGTGCACTACTTTGGAACCTTGGGAAGCCTGTGAGACACCTTGGAAGATGCCCAATGATCTGCACTAAGAATGGAAACTTCGAACTTTTGAAAATGGTTTTCTTCATTGGTTAAGGTCCCCGTGCTTACGATGTGGTTGACTAGAGGCTGAAAATTGCCTGCAGGGATAGCAATGTCCATGATTAAAGAAGAGCAATTCCTTAGTAGCTACAGCAAGACTATTATTTATTTAAAACTTTCAGGCTGCAACCAGGTTCAACAGCTTTCTCAAATCCATGTTGCTGTGAAACAAGTGGCTTGTTCCTTTTACAAACTTTTGCCCAGATAAGTTTGCCAGACCTATCAATTGGAAGAAAACCTAAGTTAAACCATCATTATTAAAATTATTAGCTAAGAACCACTATGATGAAGCCATTCTCCTATTTGAAGACAGCCAACTGGCATAGCTTTCAGCCCATGTGGCTAATGAGGAGTGTGAGGTTATTTTCTCTGACAAGAATCTGAAGAGTAGAGACAGAGTGAGTCTGGTTGATTGCAGAGCCATAAACTTTGGAGATCCAAAAAATACACAGCCAAACTGGTATCCTTTCATGAGCATTGAGAAGCTTTGCCTGCCTACATGGATGCCATCTACCTCTGGGAGGCACCTGCCATCAGATAGTTAAGAACAATTTAAGTCCTTCCTAGTGTTTGCTGGGATAAGCGATTGACCTTCCTCAGTCTAAAGCCTAAATCATAGTCAAGTGAGCACTGCATTAATGAATAGATGGGATTATAGCACACATGCTGGGGCCTTTTTTGTGCAAACTATCTTTTTTCTTTTTCCTTTTGGCAAACCTCCTCCCTCCCCGTCTCCTTTCCTGCTGCCCCACCCCTGCCACAATCCATGCTACAAAACTAGCATGTATCTTCAAGTATTTTAAAAATCTATGCTCACATAATCCCATCTAAGCATATATATGTACAAAAAAATCTATATACATTCCCACACATAGAATTTTGGGGCCATTTTTTTGGAAAGCAGGGTTATATCATACACTCTTTTCCCAGATTTTTCATTTTCACAAGGAAATATAGTTCTACTTCATTTATTGTATGGATGTATTATGATTTACTTTGTTTCTAGTTTTCTACTACATTGAATAATGCTCAGATTAACTCTCTTGCACATGTGTCCCTGTGTACTGGAACTTTCATTTTTATAAGATAGATTTTCTTAAGTGTAAATTCTGAGTCAAAGAGATGTGGATATTTAATTTTAATAAACATTGCCCATAGCGAGGGATAGTGGCACATGCCTGTAATCCCAGCTACTCCAGAGGCTGAGGA